TTATACTGTATTTATCAATAAAATTTTAAAAAATCCACATAAGTGGAATCATGCAGTTCAGACCCCTGTTGTTCAAGAGTCAATTGTATTATGAAAAATTGAAAGAAGAAAAGATTGTCTTCTTGCAGAGAATTCTCCTATTTTTCCATGATGCCCAAAGTACAGAAATTTCATGAGGCACAATTATCCAGGTGATGGTTGTGGAAGGAATGTTAGGTCCTGGGCAGAAAAACAGGTTGGAAAGATGTCACAGCAGAAGACTTGGTTTCCTCCATAAGCTTCTGTCCATTGCTCCCCTCATTCTTCTTGTCCCCGTGCCCTCCCTGACTAGAATTTAAGAAAACCAAAAATAGACTTTGTATCTCTTGCCTGGGGACTCAATTACATTGTGACTTGGAAATCTGGTATTGGTTATGAGCCCCAAATGAATTAGAAGCCAGTTTTATTGCCATGAACCTTCAAATTCCAGGAAGTAGAAAGGGCAAAAAGTAAAAAAGAGGAGATCTCATTAGGTGATTCTAATCCTTAGCCCATGAAATGGGTTGAGGAAATGTTAACATAAGCTGACTCCTGGCTATGCCAGACGTTACGAGAGTGCACAGTATTGGAAATCCACCCAGAATTCTCACTGGAGGGCAGGGACTGTCCCCCTACCCATACACTGCCTCGATGTTTACCAGGTGCAGCTGTGGCTCAGAGACACAGATGAGAAGCTCGGGGTGACTTCTCTGCCTTTGCACCCAGAGTACATTCTGTGGAACAGCAGCAGCATCTCCTGGGATCGAAGAATTTCAGGCCCCACCCAGAACATCTGAGTCAGGATCTGCATTTTATAAGGGCCCCAGGCTCATCATATATATACATGTCACCGTTTAAGAAGTACTGTTCCAGAGCGTATCTTGCAAGTTGCAAGTCCTAGAAAACACTCAATATAGGTCAGGTATAATTCAGCTATTGCCCAATTATGCTGCATGACCAAGTACCCCCAAATTCAGTGGCTGTAACACTAGGCATGTATTATCATACTGATGGGTCTGGAGATCATCTGGGGTTCAATCGATCTCGGCAGGCTAGGCTTCTAGCTGTCAGCTGGGTCTGGGCTTCTTCCACGTGTCTCTCATACTTCTGCAACCAGTAGGCTACCTGCCACATGTACCTCTCATGATGATGAAATGCACAGAAAGGGAGGACAACAGCTACTCTTAAGGTTTTTGCTTGGGCCACACAATTCCTTCAGCATAAAGTAGTCACCAGGCCCAACAGAGTGGCCAAAGGCATGGGCTTTGGATTTGTTTCAACTCCACTTGTGCTTCTCACTAACATATGTACTCTTAGGCAAAAGCCTCACATTTCCCTGTGCTTCTGTGTCCTGCTCAGTAAAATGGAACAATAGTAATAGATAAGCCACTGGAAGCTTATAATATTGCAAAGACCATCCTTGATGTATAGGAATGGTTTAAGTCTTGGGAATTGGGTATGAAAGAGCTGTGTGACATTGGGCAAGTCACTTCAACTCTCTGCATTTCATTTTCTTTATCTAAGAATAGACATCCTAATGGGATAATTCTAATTTTTGAACGTCATCTTCAAAACTGAAAACGATGTTGCAAAAGCTAACACTGAACATTTGCTCAATGCCGGGCACTGCTGTAAAGACTGTAGATGTATTTACACCTTTAATTTGCAAAATAGCCCAATGGGGATTATCTCCATTTTGCAGCTGAAGAAACTGAGGCAAAGCAATGTGAGGAAATCAATTGTTCCGACTGCCTCATGTGGAGGGAAAGATACCACTGAACGAATGCAGTCCAGGCTGGCTCCATGTGGCTGACATATTCTGCCTCATGCCAATCAGTGATGCTTCTAAAAAGGCTATTCTTGGCTTCTGCTCCCATGTGGGAGAAGGAAAAGAAAGAGCAGGGACAGCTTTAGAGAAGAGACTGGGAAAGCTGCTGGCCTCATGGTTAAACAGCAGCCGCCTCCCCACCCCACCCACCATGTGGAAGCAGATGCTGGATGAATGTGATGAGCACTTCCGGTGGGACCCAGCCATCACCTAGGGCTGTGGTGTGGAGCAGTGCAGCCTGGCTCTGAACCAGCATCAGGCTGAGGATAAGGGTGGGGCCCAAAGGACCCTACCTCTGAGAAACTAGAGGTAGAAAAGGCTGGGGGTCTCTCTGCCAGCACAGGATTCTGCCCACCAAAGATTATTTGTTAGTCAAGAAATGCACGTCGATCTCTGTGTGTCTTCCTTCTGAATGCCCTCCCTTGTATAGTCTCACTGCTTAAAATTCGTGTGCTCCATGGCAGGGATGGAACTGTGCCTGCAAATATGTTATTCATCACTCACAAAGCCTTAACAATTTAAGCCTGCAACCACTTCCCTGTTGAAGATACACCCTTTCCAACCTTCCTTTCCCAGACACAACAAGAGAAACAGTACAAGCCTGGAGGACAGGAGCCTGTGGAACTCTCTGAGCTGTATATTCTGCTTTCTTAATGACTGTCGCTGTCCAGAAGGATATCTTCTTTGTGACTAATCGAATTTTCCCTTTCTTCAATGTGTCACAAAGTCCATTTTCTCAAGGTTTTCTGAGGAACAAGTAGTCAGTTTTTAAATTGTTTCCCATAGTTGAGAGTAGTATCGTATTTCTGTTTTTATTTATGGCAATACATTGCTAATACCTAGTCAGCCATTCTGGTTCCAGATCATTTTTGATTATTCTTCCCAAGTTACTAACTGCCCTGAATCCCCAGTATATTTCATCCTCTGTTTTGCTTTGGTTTGAGGAGGCTGTGTCTCATACTGCAGGTATGTTCTGCAGTACCCTCTTTCTTCTCCCTTTGCATCCCAAATGTTGACTTGGGACCAGTCTCATTGCAGCTATCTTAATAGCTTATTAATTTGCTGATTGTCACAGAATTGAGCACTGACTAGGTAGATAGCTAAATAGAATGGAAAAAATAATTTTAAAAAATATGACCACTGAAAATATGAAATCACTATAATATGCTGCCAGAAAGAAAAAAGGGGGAAAAAATTAAAAAAAATCTGAAGACACCCAAGTGCTGGCAAAAACGTGGAGCACCTGTAGGGAATGTGAACTGATATGAACACTTTGGAAAATTGGTTTCCAAGCTACTAAAATAATATATATGTACCCTCTGACCCAGCAATCCCACCCGGGACATATACCCAAGCAGAAATGTGCACTCTAAGACCTGAAAAAGAATGCTCAGAGCAACATGATTTAAATAGCCCCAAACTGGAAACAGCGAAATGCCCATCAACAGTAGAACAGATAATCAGAAAATACACACACTGAGAGCGAACAAACAACAACTACTCGCAACACGTACAACTTCAGAAATGTAATGTTGACTGAAAGAAGCCAGGCACGGAGGAGTACATGCTGGATGATTCTGTTTATGTAAAATAACCAGGAAGAACTAGAAAAGAGATGCCAGTCACCCTTGTCAAGGAAGTGACTAGAAGGGAGCATATGGGGGCTGTGGTGCTGGTAATGTTCTGTTTCTTGACATGAGTGTTGACTACACAGATGCATTCAGCTTGTGAAATCTAACTGAGCTGTATAGTTGTATATGTGCATTTTCCATATGTGTATCAGTAAAGAATGCAGCAGGCAGAGTGGACAGTATAGAAGAGATGGCCATTTTTCACTGGGAAAGGCAACCCTCAAGCCCTGGAGCCCACTTTCTTTGCTCCCCGACATGCACTACCCTGCAGACTAGTCTTCAAATTGTAATGAGTGTGGACTAGTTTTGGTGTTATGGGGATCCTCCTCTGCCTCCGTGGCCCAGTGCTATTGTTACGACATCAAAGACCAACTGCTGGCTAAGATACAGTTCATATGAAAAGAATGACCAGCAAATTTACTGCTTGACTTCATTCCCTTTAAATGGAACTGGCCCCATGGTCCTCTTTCAAAGCTCAATTGTGGACATATATCTTCTTTATAGGACATCGTGTACAATAAAGAGAAGCAATAACTTAAAATTTAAGAAAAGAATACCTTTGAGAGTGCTGTGAGGTGAGCATTCCATCACTGTGGTTACATGTGCCCAAACACTCCTAAAAGTCTAGCCGTTGGTCTGACAGCCTTCTATTCAACATGGTGACTTTTTTTGGACAAACTGAATTATATTTTTATGCTCCCACCCTTTCCCTAGGCTCTGGAAGTTCTTGGGAAAGTCCTTAATGAGGAGCAATCTACTTCAAGCCAGAGAGCCACCTCACCAAAATCAGGCTGAATGGCAAAGTGCATATCCCAGTACTCATTAACTTATTTGGAGTTGCCCTTTGTGGAGTACACATTTTTTTAAGGACTGAGCCCAAACTAAACCTGGATCAGTACTATGCCGTCCCTTAATATCCACGTGGACATCATTCTTTCACACAGCACTAAGTGTGGAAATCTCAGGGAGTTATTAGCACTTATGAATACTGAGTGAGAAAAGAATGGAGTTGTTTTTATGACTACGGGGAAAGTAAGAACCTCACTACCTTTCTAAGAGGGAAGACTTGCGGTATGCAAGTAAAGTTCCTTACAACATATAGGATGTCCCTGGCGTAACTTGGTGTCTGACCCAGCTGGTGAGGAAGAGCCTTCTGCAATCAAAATTTACCAGCCTGCTCAAAACCAAGCAATCCAGAACAATCCTTTCAATATGCAATCACTTATTACAGTGGTGCATTGGCCTATAGGGGATAAAACATTTAAAGAGTGGCCAAGGCATCCTGGCCCAAGGCTTCCACTTCTGTTTAATTCATTACTCTTAAAAAGGTTCAGCATGCCATAGTTTGCTGGGAAAAGGCTAACTGCTGAGAAGATCCTTTCCTCTGTGCTCCCCTCACTGGCACTTTCAGGAAGGCACACCTGTCGTGTGAAACAGCTATTTTTTTTTTTTGAGACTTTGATGGAGGCAAAGCAATTAATAAGACACCTATGAAATGAGACAAATCTCACTTAAAATGGGAGTAAGTATCCAATGGAAGAAACTGGAAATAGTTGGAGAAGCCATGGAATCCCAAGGAGAATAATTCTAACTGCTGAGCAGCAGGTGGAAGTAATGAGAGTTGGGCTCTTCTGAAGGCACCTGTGGCAGATAGCTTTTCTGTTCCAATTTCTCACTGCTGGTCTCCTTGCCCTGAAGAGCAATTCAGTGTGGTCCCCATGCCCCAGAGTGGTTCCTTCACTGCTTTTTCTCCAAGGCCTGGCCTCATGTTAAGCTCTGAATAATCCAAAAATGAATGTCAATGTCCTTGGCCCTAAATTTGTTTACAAATGGGGAAGGGGTGGGGGGAGAAGAGAAGGCAATTGGGCCTGACCAGACCCGGAGAACTCAGTTACAGAATGGCAGAGCCCAATATAAAGAAAGAATTAAGTGCTGTGGACCCAAGAAGAGTGCCATTTCCACTTTCCTAATGTGAGCGAAGGACAGGGAGGTGAACAGAGGGGAAATCTAAGAGACAGAATCACAGCTTTAAAGAGCTACCCTCTAATTAAGGAGGTTGCATCTTTTCTCTGAGTCCCTGAATGCTTGTTGCTCCAAGATTGCTCAAAGCATTAACTCAATTTACTTTACTTGGAAGGCTCCTATATGTTTCTACTATTCTTTGGGTGGGAGTTCTTCACACCACTTAGGATGCGGTGTAAATGGAAGTGCTGTGGAAACTTGCCAGTGAGACAGAGCTTGCCCAAGTGGCAGGGGCTGTCTGTAGGCCACACAGACTCTTTTTAAAAGAAAATTCAGCACCCAAAAAATCCCAGATGTTCAGCCTGAAGCAACATCAGGGAGCCATCTGTGGGCTCCCCCTTGGGATTCAAGGACAGGTGGATGCTGGCAGAAAATTTGCTATGGCTGTGCTTTGGAAGGTTCTTGGTCCTAACAATCTAAGTGAAGTGCTTCTTACCATCAAGACAGGTGTATGCCAGGGTCACAGCATGTGGTTGCAGGCATGATTACTGCCCTGCTCACTAGGTTGAACTAGGACTTCATCTAAGCTCTGTGCTAACCCCCCACAACCATGATGAGGCACTCTACTTAGAAGGCAGGTTGCAGGCACTCACCAAGCACTAAAATTCTGTTGTCAGCAAGACCCCTGAAAAACTAAGCACCAACCTCTCATTTCTTGCATGAGGAATCCAAAATCCAGAGAAATGAAAGAACTTTCTCAGACCAGACTATTCATTCCAGATTGACTAACTCCCGGTCCTCTCTCAGGAAGCCACACAACCTCCCATTTCTGGACATCTTTAAGAGAATTGGAGCATATGTAGATCTAAAATTCCCAGGCTCTGAAATTATAGTTGCTGTTAGGTTGTTATGAGATCTGAAAGGAAATTCAATGAACATGAGTTGTAGCTTTATTTCAGATACCAGGTTGCAATCAGGTAAAGGATGTAATGCACATAGAAGTATAGGGCATGGCCTGACTATATAGTAAGCATTCCATTATTCCAGTCATTTGTTTAGCACTTACATATTGAGTGTCTACTATATGCAGGCATTATGCTAGACACTGGAGATTCAACAGAGTATAAGCTTATGCTCTGGAAGGGGAGATTGAAAAGAATCAATTCATAAGTAAAGTATTAGATGTAAAGTAGATAGTAAGAGGTACTTAGCAGTAATAGTAATAGTGAAGTAATAGATGGTAAAGTAGATGGTAATAGGTGCCAGCAGGACATGAACAGGGAGCAAAGACAGGGAATACCTAGGGGTACCTACTAAAAGAGTGTGGCCAAGGAAGGACTTGGTGGAAAAAGTGACACTGAAGCCTGGAGCTAAAGAATAAGACAAGGCCATCTTTGCAAAGACTAGGAGGAGAGCAGTTCAGGCAATGTAATCACACACACCAAACCTTGAGGTGGGAAACCTTGGCTTGACTAAGGGACAGAAAAAAGACTGGAGAAAGGGAGTAAGTATAAGGGAGAAAATGATTTGAGAATTTGTAGAAGAGAGTGGAGCCTTGTAGGTTATGATAAAGGATGTAGCTGTGCTTCTGAGATCAGCAAGGAAGGAGCCATTAAAGAGATTTGGATGATGGCTCTGTCTGATTTGTGGAGAATGGGTGGGAAGGGTACAGACATGTTAGGAGGTTTCATAATAAAATAATCCAGGCAAGAGATGAAGGGATGTGGACCAATATGTAAAGAAATGGATGGATGCAAGACATTGTTCTGATACAGAGCCAACAGGATGTGCTAATGGATCATATTTCAGAGTTGAAAAACTGAGGAGTCAAAAGATAACTTCCAGTTTTATGGGGTGTGGGGCATACATATCAGTGTATCTATACTGGATACATAGAATTTGAGATACCTGTGGGACATCCAAGTGATGATGATGAGCACAGAAGTGGTCAAATAGACTGGGAACCAAGACTGAGATGTCATAACCAAAATGGTAGGAGGAGAACCAAGAGTTGTATCATGGACACCAAGGGAGGAGAATGCCTTAAGGAAAGAATTCTTTTGAATGCTGCTGTGACGGCAAAGAAGATGAAGACAGAGGAGTGCCCATTCAACTGGGCATCATGGGCATTGCTGAAAGCCTTGATGAGAGCAGTTTAAGAAGCACCAGAATAGATACCAGCCTCTACTGGGTAAAGTAGCAAATGGGAGGTGAAGAAGAAGAAACAGAATCTAGGGGCTCCTTGATGGCTCAGTCAGTTGAGTATCCAACTCTTGATTTCAGCTCAGGGCATGATCCCCCAGGGTCATGGGATCAAGCCCTGCTTCAGCAGGCTGAGGGTGGAGCCTGCTTAAGATTCATTCATTCTCTCTCTCTCTCTCTCTCTCTCTCTCTCTCTGCCCTTCTGCCTGTCTTCCCTGCTCATGCGCTCTCTCTCTCTCTCTCTCTAAGGTAAAACAAAATAAAAAATAAAAATAATAAAGAAACAGAATCTATAATTAAGTCTTGGGAAGCTTTGCCATGAAGGGGAACTGCGTGGACTTGGGGCTGAGGGAGGGTATTTAGCTCATTTGTTTTAAGATCAGAGATACCAGGGCATCATTGATGCTGATGCTGAGACTGAGCCAGTAAAAAGGGAAAAATGAATGATGAGAGATTGAGAGGGGAGGGCTGAGGGGTAAATTGATCAAGAAAGTAAGAATGTATGTATAAGAGTTGACACTTGATAAAAGCAGGGATGATTGTTCCATGCAATAGCTGAGAAGAAGAAGACAATGAGCTATGCAGTTAGGAGCATAGATATAGTGTGAGTATATGAGAATTAACCATACAAGTCTCATGGATGAGGAAAGCTCCTGTTCCTTCAATGAAATCTGCAGTGAGGTAAGTGAGGAAGAGTAGGGGATTTGGAGAGAGTAGATATGAAATAGTCATCTTGGATATGAGAGAAGGCAAGATTGTGAGGGAATGGCTATCTACTTTGGAACAGTGCTGAGTACTCATCTGAGGTTTGAGAACATGGAAGACAGACCAGGTTTTAAAGTTGAGCTATTGTATTTTTCCTATCATCCATGTGCTTGGCTACTAACATAGGAAAGTTGGATCATTGGATTCAACCAGAACTGAGGTTTTGCCCATGAAATAGATCAGAGGGAGAGGAGGAAAGGAGAGTTGTGAGGAGTTACAAAGAAATGGTTATACTTTCTAAAATGTGCTAAATGAGAATGAAAGTAAAATAGAAAGCTGAAGGACAGTGAGAAAAAGGTAGAGAACTGGAGATCTCAGTGGGTTGAAAACTAAGGAAATGAACTAACAGGATGGAAAGTACCTTTGTGTAGAAGATTTACTGACAGAAGGTCTAGGGCAGAGGGTAGCTGAGATGCAGTGGAGGAAACGGTTGTTGGTGGTGAGAGATCAAGGGGCTAGGACCATCTGCATGGATGTTGAAGTTGCCAAATAGGATAACAGATGAGATTGGCGAAGAAGACTGAGCCAGAAGGTTACATTTTCAATAAATGAGGGAGAATGACCAGAAGTTCCATATAGCAACTAAAACAGCCATCATCCTGAAAGAAGCAGAGTTTGTTTATGCATTTTTGGTTTTGTTTTTCAGGAAGAAGGGGGAGGAAATGGTCAGGATGCAGCTATGGGGACCAGGAAGACATAGGAGGAGGTTGAAGGAATAGTCAGAGAAGAAGTTGAAAATGAGAGGAGATGGCTTATCATGGAATGAAGGTCCTGGAAGGGATGCGGAGAGTTGAGGGGGACAGGTTGAGTTCAATTAAGAAAGGTTCAAAGCTGTATGGGATGGAGAACCTATGGTGATGGAAGATCTCTCAGTGGAAGCTAGAGAAACCATAATGGGAATGGTCTTGAGCTTCTCTTAACTGAAGGTGACACCCTTTTCTCAATGGCATGGTAGCCTCTGGGCTTTTGTTTCTGTGATTATTTGGTTTGATGTAAAGGCATCAGATGAGGGATGGGGTTACTTAGGTCTCACAAGGTGGGGTTGGCAGCCATAGCTTGAGCTCCTTTAGTGTTCGCATGTGGAATGGTTTAAGCTGGTAGTTATACAGACCTCACCTGATTCTATCTACTTGGTTTTGTCAAACACTTATATAGCACTTGCTATGGGCCAAGCGCTTTTCTAAGCATGTGATGAATATTAATTTATTTAGTTCTCAAAACAACACCATGAGCAGGCACCATTATTAACTCTATTTTACACTATAAGGTTAAATAACCTATCTAAGTCACATGGTTAGTAGAGGTAGAGGCAGGATTTGAACCCTGACTGCCTGGATCCCAGAGTCCATACTTTCAGTCATTATGAATGACTATGCCCCACAGAAGGTTCAGGCAAAATTTCCTTTTTCATTGTCAGAAAAAGCTCTTGCCTTGAAAATCTGAAGATTTGAGTTTGAATCCCTATTCTGCCACCAACAGGCTGTGGACTTGGACACAACATTTAACTTCGCTCCTCCTCAGCTTTCATAGTGGCCAGTTCATGCAGTCATTCAGGGACCCAGACTGATGGAGGCACTGTTCTCTTCTAGATTAGAAAGGACACGCATCACTTCTGCTCACATCAGTCATATTCTGATACAAGGTGGCTAGGAAATGTGTTCCCTGGCTGTCTCCACTTTGGAGCAAGCATACATATTTTTTGTGGACAGCTAGCCATCTCTGCCTTATTACTTGGTATGCCTGATGCTTTCGGGACTCTGTGTGCATTTCTGTGTGCTCTCAGCTTTGTGTCTTCTTTCTGTCTCATCTTTAGGTATGTCTCATTGCATTACTAATAATTGACCATTAGCCACCATGCAGTCCATCACTTCTCAGAATATAAGACATATAGTCAAGAAAAAACTTAGTCTTTCCCTAGTGCCAAAACCAAAGGAAGAAATTAAACATGCCCCAAATTTCAAGCCATAGCCATCACCTCGAAGCATTTATTTGCATTGTGAATATTTATCGAGATACTAATCAACAAAACATTGTTTAGGTAGAAGTTGCTATAACCCATGTGATTGGGAATACAATTTGATTAAGTTCACAGTATTTCTGCCGTTAGAGTAGCAGGTGCAATTTCCCTGAATTAGATGTTTGAAAGGAAGATGGACTTATTTTCTCAATTATCCAGATTGTGTGTTTGCTTTAGTGGAGTGGAGATAAGCCTCAATGCTCATGGAATTTGCAGAAGGGAGTGTTCATCTATTACCGCAGCTGCGATGGAGGAGGTGCTGATCCACCTGCAGGTGTGAGACAAAGCCCATTAGCAGTTCAGAAAGGTCACACTCATGGACAAACCCAAAGCGTAATTTGTTGTCTTCCCCTTCACTCACAGACGGGCATGGTAAACTCAAGCAGAAAGAAAACATGCCTCAACCTTATACTAACTGCAGAGCTCATTTTCTTATAAATGAAAAGTCCACATGGGCAGGAGAGCTGCTTTAGAACAGCTCATCTCTGAGAGTTTGCAGGTGGCAGTCTCTCACCACTGTGATGACTACAGGTCTCACCAAGGTGTCAAGTTCAAACACAGAGGCTCTGTTTCCCACTACTCTGGAATATGGATTGTCATTATGGGGGGGGGGGGGATCGTCTGCTAATAAAAACAGAATGTGGTTACTTCTTTGGACATTGTATGTCCTTAAGTCCTGCAAACTATGCGGTAAGGCAGTTTTGTAATTTGTTTTTTCTCACAAGAAGAAGACCAGCAAACAGATTTTAGTTACAAGTAATCACATTCCATGTAAAAACACATTTAAAAGGTTTAACGTGGAAGTTTATTCCACAGTTCACAGGCATGTCATTATCTTTACTAGATACTGTTGTAATTCAAACACAAATGAAGAGAGGATATAATTTCTTAAAAATCTCTTGGCCAAGTTTTTTTGTTAACTATCGTTCAAG